TTCCTTCCTTCCTTCCTTCCTTCCTTCCTTCCTTCCTTCCTTCCCCATCATTAGCTTCCTTCCTCGTGGGGGACATTTACAGGAAGTATTCGCGAAGGCTTTACAGGGAGCTTGGATTGCAAATAACAAAATCAGGAATATGTCTTTCGTCCCAATTGGTACTGTTGTTGTCCATAATGGTTGTGTTTAAAAATTATTTACAGGTTCACATAGATAAAACAGACACCATGTTATAAAGCAAAATCACTCACATAAGCTGGGAACCTACTGCTGATCTTGTTTACATAAAGGAAATAGGATAAGTCTGGACTGCTAATTGTTCCTTATTAATGAGGCGCTGGTTATCTTCTTGGGTGCGCACCTGCTCATGCAGAGATGATCACACTGTGGTCTTCAATGCAACCAGCTACCTTTCGAATGAGTTGCAATTTGCCACCAAGATTTGTGCCATTCCTTCGTGCAGAAGTAGATGGAAACAAGATTTAGGTCATTATCCCTTCCCTTAGGGCTTATAGACTCGTACTGTGCTCCTAGGCTGAATCTCATTAAAATTTGCAGGATGGACTTCTTAGTAGCTTATTGCTGTTATGGGCTTTCAAGTCAGAACCGAGTTACAGCAATCTTAATAGCGCTTTCATGGTAAGTGATATATTGACGGAGTGGTTTTACCAATTCCATTCCCCCAGTGAGTTTCCATGGCTGAGCTGGAATTCGAACCCAGGTCTCCATTACTCTATTTACTGCACCACACTGTGTATCAGAAGAACGTTAGGGATATTCACGGGAAATTTCTAATATTCATCCTAGACAGGCTGTCAAGGCATAACCCCTCCGAGTGTTCTCACCGTCAGCACAAAAATAAGGAAAGTAGAAGTGGGACACACACACACACACACACACACACACACACACACACACACACACACAAACACACACACACATGCCAAATGTTTCTGTGTTTTGTGTAAATGTATTTGTGCAGGACAAATGGCAGAAGGACTGGCGGAGGGATCAAAAAAGAGGCAGATAACCCATTGGGCGCTTCGATGTTTAAAAAAATCACACAACGAGGCAGTCGTTATTGTGCTTCGCGCACAAATAGATTGATCGTTCCTCATTCTCACCTCTGAGAATAAGACCAGCAAAGATTTGCGGGTTGTCAAAAATGTGAAGAAGGGGAATTTTAATCAGATATGTAAATGACGTGAACACAGAAGAAAATAGATACGTGGCGGTCCCGTGTGACATGGGAAGGCCAAGCCAAAGAGAAAGGGCAGGTTAAGAGACGGGTGGAGACGATTCGGGGTTGATGAGCGATGGCAAGGCTCCCAAATCAATGAAGGGACATGGAATGAAAGGAGAACAGGCCCAAAGAATGCAACCCTCTTGAATATCAGTAGATGCAGTTTCAGTCATACCAGAGAAGAGTGAGGCAGTCAAGGAAAGGAATGGACCACTGGAGTGATCAGATCATAACTAGAGACAGCATAGAGGACGTATGGCGGATTTCGAGACCAGAGAAGGAACGTTGAAAGAAAAGGACGGGAGATCAGTGAACAAAGGGTTGACCTCCTCAGTCCAAGAAATAATAGGAGAGGGAACAAGACCCTTTATTGCAGCCAGAGAGAAAAGAGGGCAGATGTTACAGAGGACGAAGATGAAAGCAGCCACTTTTGGGAGCGGAGAGCCTACATGGGGAGGAGCACAAAAGGGAGGAACCCACACTCCTGGCGAGGTTATGAACCGTTCAGTGCAATAAACAATCTCTTCTCAGATCTTCACTTTGAGCCCTCCAGCCTTGTGCAGAGGACAGACAGATTTTTTAAAGACTTCTCACTCCTCAAGAGAGGCAGTCAGAAAGTCAACTGGATCAGGATAACAAAGATTCCGTTCCTTAATGAGACCTTCATTAATCACAAATGATGTGCCATCAAGTTGATTACAACTTAGGATAACCTTTTCCATGGGGGTTCCAGGTACAGAGCACTGAGAAGTGGCTTCCTCTTCTCTTCTTCTTCTTCTGTGGCTGGCCCAAAGCTACATAGGCTGGCTATTATTTTATCACCCATTTTATGAAGTAGGCTTAAACTGTCTTTATTGCGAAGGGAGAAAAATAGAGGCTGGCTCTTCTCCCAAGAGGGCCAGTGGTATGCATTTTTATTCTAAGTACACTATTATTTTATCACCCATTTTATGAATTAGGCTTAAACTGTCTTTATTCTGAAGGGAGGAAAATAGCAGCTGGGGGAGCCTATCTTGAGCACCTTCAGGGGTAATTACTAGGAAAGCAATTTAAATGGAAACTGCTCTAGGGCCGTGATGTGGCTTTTTACATATTGGACCCCTGTGGCTGCATTTTCTTCAAAATAAAAGTGGCCACTCTTAATCATGCTCTTTACAAAGTCCTTTCACTGTAACATGTAGTTTAGCCATAACTGGACTCGGATGGCAAGAGGCTGTGTTTGCAATTGGCTTTTGATTTCCACGTGTTCCTACATTAAGGGATGAAAATATTGATTTCAGTCCCCCGTGCACAACAAACAAGAAATATTGATTGAGTGATTATTTATTTATTTATTTATTTATTTACTTATTTATTTATTTACTTATTTATTTATTTATTTGCTGCAAGCCATCTTGCGTCAATGAATCACAAATTAATAAAGTCTCTGGTCAACTGAGGTGCTGACTAGAGATGGGCATGACTCAAAAAAAATGGCAATTTGTTGTGATTTGTAATTCATCAAAGTTGACTAATCACAAATCATGAATTTATGATTGTTTTTCTGATGAATCAATTTGTCAATTTGGTTTTGACTTTATAGGGTATCAAAATTCACCACAAGCACCTTGAGACACCAAATTCACAGAGAAACTTCCCTTGGCTCTTCTCTACAAGCCTCACAAGTTAGGTGAAGTTTGGGTTTTGGACATCGGAGTTATGTACCTACAAAATGGTTCCCCCAAGGAAATTTCCCTGTAGCAGCTGGCTTGGGAAAACCCAATCTCCACCAAACTTGGAGGGGTTGTAGAAGAGAGTCAGTAGATGTTTCTCTGTGATTTTGATGTCTCTAGATGACTGGGGGAAACTTTTCGGGGGGGGCTCTTTGTGGGTGTGTAACGCGGACATCTGAAAACCAGTCTTTACCAAACATGGAAGGAATGTAGAGGGGAGTCAGAAAACACTTCCCTGCAATGTCGGTGCCACTAGGTGCCTGGAGCGGTATTTTATAGCAGAATGAATTGAAAATAAAAAACTGCTAAAAATTCATTGATTCATATTGGTCTGGGGCATTGATTCATATTTTTTTTTATTTTTTTTTTATTTAATTTATATGCCGCCCACACTACCCAAAGGTCTCTGGGCGGCTTACAGCATTTAAATATGAAAATGGATTGACAAATTAGCTATTTTTGAATGAATTTGGTGAATCTTTTTTCAGTTCCTGCCCAACTCTAGAGAAGAACTGTTTATATATTTGATTCATACATTTTTAATGCCCATTACTGAAATATAGTATAATTGTGGCTGTTTTTGCATCAACTAATAATAGTAATAAGAGAGAATAGGGATGGGATTTTTTAAAAAAAAAATTCTTAGATTGCAGTCCTATAATTCTCCATTCTGGGAGTTCTACCTGACAGACGGGCATCTGGAAGAAAGGCCAAGCTCCACGCAACGTCCCTGTTCTTTGCCCCAGTGTTATTTGGGAGCTTTCTGTCTGAACAAGACGTTAAGCAGAGCTAGGCCTAGATTAGCTTCAGAATCTTCCAGCTGAGACCTTTCACCTAGGTGAGCCACATTCAGATATCTGCAAGACATCTGTCTGCAAGGTGGAATTCCCAGAATGGAGATTTGTGGGATTTATGGTCCAATGAATTTAAAATCCCATTCCCTAGCACCAAGTATGCTTTCTGTGTCTTTGTGATCAACCAGACCGTCCTGTTATTCCTCTGCAGCTGTTTAGCTTTGCAAAGGGAAAAGACACTAGTTTTGCACTGAAATGGAGTAATAGACAAACTGTGTTTCGAGTAAATAGTAATAACCACCGGTGGAACAAAATTCGTCATCTCGAACTCGCAGCGAAGCCAATCCTATAATTAGACGTTGGAGAATCCTTGAAGAGCTATCTTGCAGGGCCAAGACAGCTAGTTTTGGCAAAAGTGTAATTTATTGGCATTCGTACCTGCAGTGTATCTTCTTTTAGATCCCTGGTTCTCAGTCAGTGCTAGACATATCACTGGGAGCACACAGAAGACGTCCAGGGCCAATATAGTCATTTCGTAATACAATTATTAAGCATTCACTCTTCCTTCGTCCTCATGTTCCCCATGTTTGTGTTGTGCCCTCCCCGACCAGACTCTATTTGTTGTTGTTGTTGTTTAGTTGTTAAGTCGTTTCCGACTCTTCATGACCCCATGGACCAGAGCACGCCAGGCCATCTCGTCTTCCACGGCCTCCCGGAGTTGGGTCAAATTCATGTTGGTGGCTTTGATGACACTGTCCAGCCATCTCGTCCTCTGTCGTCCCCTTCTCCTCTTGCCTTCACACTTTCCCAACATCTGGGTCTTTTCCAGGGAACCAGACTCTATTCACCACAGATGATCTCTTTACAACTTACATCAACTTTGAACACTCACTGTTTCTCCTAATTGTCACTTCCCCTTGTCTACCAGTGGAATACCTAATACCTCATTTGCTTCTTATGTGAAGGAATAATAAAGATTATGAAAGCCAAATGCCTTCCAATGTATCAAAATGTCGGTTGTGAGGAAGTGGCATAATTGCGTTTGCCCTGCTGGGACGAGTCTACTTCTCCGGTAGAGTGGCTGGCAGGATGTAAGATATCAAAGTCAAGGAATCCTTGAGCTAGATTACGAAGCTGGTTCTGTTTGATCCGTTGAAATCCTTTCTACCTCTGTGCTTCGGTCCTGAGAACCGAGCCCATGGGAGGACTGAGTCACAAAAGAGAGACAAATGACTTACAGCAGACTGAGGGCATCGCCGTAAGTCTAGTGTCCACGTAGCCTACAACTACTGAAAAATGGGATTTCAAGCCTTTGTCTCACCAGTTGAATGACCATCCTGGTTCCGGTGGGACACAGCTAGCACGTCTCACCTTCATAAGATGAGGAGACTGACTCACATATGTTAAAAGCCACCTTTCTCAGCTCCAAGGAGAGCTGGCTAATTAGCATCTCGGAGCAGCTTTGAAGATGAAGGCACTCAGTGTTAAGTGCTAATTATTGTTAGTGCTGATAGAAGAGCTGGCGGGCTCTTCCCGAGGTGCTCCCTCTTCTGTTCCTCTTCACCATAGATTCATCAAAGACATTCCTAATCCAGGGACCTCATTTGTGTCTGGCTCAATGAGCTATAGGTTGTTCCGTTTGCTTGTTAAAGAGAGGCATCAGAATCTTTCCTGTAGCCAACTTTCCTCCTCTAATGGCTCTTTCCTTCTCTAGGTGCAAGATGGATCTGTGGTGGCCCTGGTGTCCAAGCAAGTCACCGCTTACAACGCAGTGAATAATTCCACTGTTTCTAGGACATCTGCCAGCAAGTATGGTAAGCATTGCTCCTTCCTTCCTTCCTTCCTTCCTTCCTTCCTTCCTTCCTTCCTTCCTTCCTTCCTTC